TAGCTAAGCTAGCTACGTGGTCTTGCTTGGAAACGTTATTGTTGTGTGGCGTGCTAGCTCCCGCTAACATAAATAAAGTTAGTGCAGTCTAGCTAAGCTAGCTCGCTATAGGTCACTTTTCTCAGTATGGATATAAATAGACGCTTTTCTGTGTGCTTTAAATATTTCATTTGAATATTACGGGTTAGCTAATGTTCTAGCGATATAACGCTTTCACAGCCAGCTAGCAACTAAGTTAGCTAACTCCACAGAGGAAAAAAAAAGAAAAGAAGTGGACGCAGTTTGGAGTCGTTTAGGTTTTTATTTTCATGATTTTATTTTTTTATTTCTTGTTAAATAAATTTGTTAAAGCCGATAGCTAGGTGTGAGACAGATTAGCTCCTGCTTTAACCTGTTTAGACATCTAGATATATAAACCAGTCTTCAACGACTACATTTTTAAACTAATTTAATCAATTCCACACTTTTCACTTCATGTTATAACTTTTATATAATTTAAATCTTTTTATAAATTGTTTACCAATTTCATTTTCCTGCTGATTTTTATGCTACTTGTATAGGTGTGTAGTGTACAGTGCTGCACAGGGGGCAAAAGTTTTTATTCTCCTTTTGCTTTCTGTGAGAGAAAAGGAAAATGTACCTCTTTTTAGAAAAATTTTAATTATTAATTTATTATTTAATTAAATTCTAAACATTAATTATCTAGCCCCCCCAAAAAAACAAACAAACAAAAACAGTTCCAAGATGTTAAAAGTGAAATGTGGATACATTGAATATACTATAATATAATATAATATAATATAATATAAACAGGACAACAGCTGAAATGTCAGGTAGAATATTAGTCAGTAATATTACTGATATAAGTATATAAAAACTGTTCAGAGGATGGTAAAAGTTTAAGGCTGTTTATAAAGGTGACAAAACTTGGGGAAAAAAAAAAATCACCTACAGAAAGGGCGATATTATAGTGTTATTTGTGATAATAAAGGCACATCTGTTAACCCTAACATTAAGAGTCTTATTAGTATAGTACTATACCTCTTCATGTTGCCCATAAGGTGATGTAATATATTTGTAAATGGGTATGATGGCAGTTCAGACATGGACAGGTGGTGATCAGTTTATTAGCTAGCCCACCCGACAATAGGAAGCTCCAGTGCTCCGGTTCTGTGTTGTGGTTGACCAGAAATCTAACATCCAGCGAGCTAGGTGGCTAGTTAAATACGTTCATATAGAATAAGGGAAATGAACGTGTTTTATGATCAATATTAACTTCTAACAATGTGTATAACGTGGCACATCATGTTTGCACCCTCAGCAAAAAGCTAACAAGTTGCTGGCTGATGTTCATCCCTGTAGCGCTCACAAATCATGTCTGATTAGAGTCTTTATACTCTCTGTTTAACCACAAGGTGACTGAGTTGTGTTAGCCGGAGAGTTATATGACGACTTTTTTCGGTTTTGTTAGTTCTTACATACCCGCGTGTTGCTGATGCTGAAAAGATTGTCTGTTATCCATGCACGCTGATGAATCCACGTGGTAAGAATCATTCCGTCAGTCAGATCGAACCTCGGCTGATGTGTGTTGTGCAGCAGGTGGTGGGATTCAGATGTACATGCTATAGTTAGAGCATTGTGGTACTCCTACTGCCAAGAAGTGCATTATGTCTAAACAAAGCTACATATCAAACTAAAAAACTTTTTTTTCGGGTTATTAAGCCTACTTTTCTGTTGGGAAGCTATGGGGGGGGACCCTAATAGCCCAGATGTGAAATCTGACTACATACCTGGGCAAGTGATTTGTCCCCCATGCAGTTATTCTTGCTGTAGATATGATTACTTAGTTAAAATGTTTCCTGTCGGGTCCGAATGGCCTGCGTAAAGTCTGAACTGTGATTAGGAAGTTCTGAAGTATGCCGTTTGTCCATTTTTGAGCTTTTCAAATGCATTTCAAATAAGAGTTGGCCACAGGTGTGCTTTGATTACACAGTGATGTGCCATTTAGATGTGTCACTCACTGCATTAAAGCAAATTCCTTCTAAGTCAGAAGAGTGTGTGTGTGTGTGTGTGTGTGTGTGTGTGTGTGTCCCACAGGACTTCGATAGGCAGTGTTAGTGCTTTGAGGTTCAGCCTTACCCGCTTGCAGTCTAAAAGCTGGTTCTAATTTGTAGTGACTGGGGGAGGGAGCTGTGTGTATCTGCTCCTTCACCTACCATTCCATGCCTAAAGCATGAGCTGGTACAGGGTCAAAAACCAGATGGGACCTAATACCGTGCAGTGGGTCCAAGTCTTTTACAAAAGCGAAAGTTAGACGCTTGGCTGTATACATGTGCCAAACAGCTGTACATTCCACAGCTTCTCTCGCAAGTCTGCATTTGGGAAAAACAACATTAGCGCTGGAAAAAGTGAACAAAAGAAAGGAGAGGGCGAGAGTAGGCCACGTATAATGTTAAAACGCAGGGTATATCTGTATTCTTCATGTCTGACTTTTTCTCTAGAGTGATGCAGATGCATGAGTTCCAAATTAAACTGACTGAAGGGTTAAGGAGTGGCTTGTAGTTACTACATTTCTTGAATGTCTTAAAGTGCTGTGTGTTTTGTATAAAGTACGTGATGCAAATTCCTACCATTGGCCAAAAGAAACATATGACTCTACAGTAGACCAAAATCCATGTGCTTTATAGGCTTTTACATTTGCTTGATGTTTCTGCTCAAGAGTATTGCCTGCGCAATCACTATCATCATTCGATCACAGTCAAAACATCCCTCCACTAACACTAGTTGCATCCACATGCTATTGCAAAATCCCTTCTGTACTGTAGTCATGGCTTTCCAGATGTTATTTTTGCTTACATGCAGACAGTTGACAAAGGAAAAACCAACATAGTGTCTTGTTCCTGCCACCAGAACAGCTTCAGTGTGGCCTGGCACAGATTCTCCGGAAGTGTCACTGGAATTCGTCCAATAGATATTCCCTCAGTTGGTGTTTTTATGATGGCGGTGGAGAGCGCTGTCTAACACCTGGCTCCAAAATCTCCCATAATCTGCCAGTAGGTTGAGATCTGGTGGCCGTGAAGGCCATAGCATATAATTTTAATATTCATCACAACCATCTTGCCCTGTGCAAGTGGGTGGGGTCCCACAAGGCCACGCCCATCAAGACAGAACTGTTTCATCATAGGATAAAAGTGATCAGTCATAAGAAATTTGATTTGCACTGACTCTTCGCTCTAAGGGGAGAAGTGGACTACTGGTTTTTACTTTGTGCTTTGCTCAGACGTTGCTCCTGTTCTGTGTTCATGTTGTGTAATTAAGCAATATTGCACGAGTGGCCAAATGCTGTACTTATTTTGCTCCGCTAGCAGAAATAGATACTTAAGAAGCCACACTCACCTTATAGCTCATTGGCTAGCTCGCGTTGATTTGTAAATTTGCGTTAAATGTGTTTCTGGTGAAATAGACGTGTCTTCATCTGATGAGCTTTCATAAATTAAGCCAAAAATTATACTCCTTGAAAAGTATCATTTGCCCTCTTTGCCGCAGACACTACTGTAGTAACGGTTTTGAACTTGGAAGTGGAATTTTAGGTGGGGAACACAGACGAGCGGAGTGATGTGATACAGTGAAACGTCCCAGTGCGGTTATAGGGAATATAGGCACCTTGGAACGCCGCTCGACAAATCAGATTAGTGGACCGTAACTAACTGTTGTATAATACTGTATTATACTCCAATTCATACTAGTCTTTTGGGTGTTTTTTGTTTTGTTTTGTTTTTTTAACTGTAAATAGTACCAGAATTCTTGGAAGCAGAAAACTGATCCAGTAATGAAGTTTAGTGTTGTCATTTTTATGTTAGACCAAGAGCTAAAGACCAGCATTTTTGTCAGATTTTAACAGTGAATTCAAACCCATCTTGTCAGGTGTATTCTAGCAGTTTTAGGGTCTGTCCTCATGTCAGAAGATAGTAGTTTGGAGTAGTCTACTATGTGTGGAAATAACTGGCTAGTATCTATCTATCTATCTATCTATCTATCTATCTATCTATCTATCTCTAGAAGACAAACCGGCAGTTGCTTTGTGATGCTCTGGACAGTGTTCTGCTGGGAAACCTTGGGTTCTGGCATTCATGTGGATGTTACTTTGACACGTACCACCTACCTAAACATTGTTGCAGATCAAGTACACCTCTTCATGGCAGCTGTATTCCCTAATGGCTGTGGCCTCTTTTGGCAGGAAAATACGTACTGCCTCACTGCAAAAATTGTTCGGGAATGGTTTGAGGAACATGACAAAGAGTTCAAGGTGTTGGTTTGGCCACCAAATTCCCCAGATCTCAATCCTATCGAGCATCTTTGGGATCTGCTGGACAAACAAGTCTGATCCATGGAGGCCCCACCTCGCAACTTCCAGGACTTAAAGGATCTGCTGCTAACGTCTTGGTGCCAGACACCACAGCACACCTTCAGAGCTCTTGTGGAGTCCATGCTTCAATGGGTCAGAGCTGTTTTGGTGGCACAAGGGGGACCAATATTAGGCAGGTGCTTTTAATGTTATGGCTGACTACATGAGATTTAGGTGATGATGCTTGCCTAGAAATCCAAAAACGGACCAGTTCCCACCTACCTGAAGCTTAGCTCAAATTGGGACGTGGTAGCTTAGTGGTTAAGATGTTGGAATACTGATTGGAAGGTTGTGAGTTCAAATCCCAGCACTGTCAAGCCGCCACTGCTGGACCCTTGAGCAAGGCCCTTAACCCTCAACTGCTCAGTTGTGTAAATGAGATAAATGTAAGTCGCTCTGGATAAGGGCATCTGCCGAATGCCATAAATGTAATGTAATGACTCACCCTTTACCGTTATACAGTTTATACCGAAATACCATTTGCATATACTGCGGTATGAACACATATGGTCTTGATATCGCAGAAATCTGTGGTATCAGCAGGTTTTTTTTTAGTCATATACAGCAGCATAGTTCAAGCATGCTGAGCTGTGGGTCCCTGGAGGACTAGTGGTTAGGCCACAGCACTCTCACCGCTGTGGCCCTGGTTCGATTCCCAGCCGGGGAACCAACCCCAGCCACTGGGGTTACGTGCAACAGTGTGCTCTCAGTGCCGGTCCCAAGCCCGGATAAAATTGTGGAGGGTTGCGTCAGGAAGGGCATCCGGTGTGAAAAAAAACTGTGCCAAATCAAATACACGGACCAGTGATCCGTGGTGGCGACCCCTAACGGGAGCAGCCGAAAGAGGAAGAAGATACAGCAGCATAGTTCAAGCACACACAGTGTGCATAGTGAAAGCCAGCCCATCATGAAAGTCTCCTCGATTGAGTGAGGATGAAGTATACACAGATGCTTTGAGGAAAGTGTTTTGAAAAAAAAACAACCATCCTCTGTTATTTGGAGATATTTTCGGCTTAGGATGGAGGATGTAGAAGAGAGCAAGGTGTTGTGCAGGGCTTGCATTGTCAAAAGCCAGAACGCAGGAAGGCAGCACATCAAACCTTTTCCATCACCTTTACCTAACACCACAAAGCACTGTATGAAGAGTACCTTGCGACGGGGCCAGACCACACATCCTGTGCCAACCCTAAGCAAGCGTTAATTCCGAATGCATTGAGTAGCATAATGCCGTATGTGTCGTCTTCTAAAAGAAATTACAGATGCCATAACTTTCCACATTGCTAAAGACATGGTTCCTGTTTATACTGTTGTGAAAGAGGGCTTCCAGAAAATGCTAGGTGAGCAATACAAAATGCCATCGCAAACCTGTTTTACTCAAGTGGCCATGCCTGAACTTTATAATACGTGCAGAACAAGTTAATGCCGAGCTCCAACAAGTGGAATATTTTGCCTCTGCCACAGACTTAAGGTCTATCTGGACGACTGAACCCTATGAGTTTAACAGTCCATTTTATCAATAAGAACTTCGAGCTGAAAATCTGATGCTTGCAGACTTCTGGATGTGTCTTCAGTCTTTCGGACACAGGCTACCCCTGACAACTGGTAGGCTTTCTTAAAAAGTACAAATCGCACATATATTATTGTTTTAAACTAAATTATTTTTATTTGCGTAAACTTGGGCTACACTACCATAGTATTTTGGCAAATTTTTTCGTAGCTTAGATCAGAACTGCGAGTTGATATTGTGCTCTTTGTGGCATATAGGCCTAATTAAATATGCCCAAAAAATTTGTGTAAAACGTTTCATTCCTAATTAGAACGGAAAATACATTTGCTTCTTCCGAGTTTTTATTTATTGTAAATTAAAACAATGTAGTCTATGGTGTGATCTGTCGCTGGGTTTAGTAAAGTATTTTTGAAAGTAACCAAACTTTCCAGATTCTGTTGCTGTAAAATAATTATGCTACGTTTAACTGTCACTTCAGACATCAAGCATGAGCCCATAGTCATATTCATACCATTATCAAGGTATTTGCTATAAATACCGAGATATGAAGAGCACACAGCCCTGCTCTTAGCGTGCTTTCACATATGTGTTGAGTCTGTTTGAATTAAACCCCGATGTGATTATCTCTTTGATGCAGGTGAAGAATACAGCAATCGCATATAACTGGTGTATAAATAACTGGTGTGAGACCATTTTAGCGAGGTGGACTTGGTCCGTTTCCAGTCGAACTCTAGCATGGTTTGATTGCAGTGAGAAAGCGATTCGATCCTGAGTTTGACCCAAATACAGGAAGTGAGGCAAGCATGCTCTGTGGGTCCCCCCCCCCCCCCCCCCCCCCCCCCCCCCCCCCCGGGGGGGGGGA